AGGAATGTTTCCCACGTCTCACTAGAAAAGTCAAACTATATAAACAAGGAGATAAAGCGGGAGGACTGCAGGTGGCTGATAACAGAATGATGTTTAGGAGACACTGGCCTTGTGATGGCATGACAACACTGGCAATCAGAGTTTTCACATGCCTCCATCCCGCTGACTGACTCCTCTCAAAGGTGTCAACCTCACTTTGCTCAGCCGCTCACTATGGAGCAGGAGGACTTTGGTGAGCCGGGCTCCATGGACAAGAGGGTGGTGCTGATCACGGGCTGCTCCTCGGGGATCGGTCTCAGCCTGGCAGTTCGGCTGGCCTCTGACCCCGACAAAAAGTTCAAAGGTAACAACAGGGTTAGAGTGTGCTGACTTTTGCTTTGTGACATGGTGCATTACAAATCTGGAAGTAGCCAGTAAAAGATGAGTGTGGCCATGGACGGATGCAACAATACTAATACAGGTGGTGGCATTCAGACAATGAGGGATTAGCATTAAAGGGGCCCATGGTGTGCAAAGAAAACACAGCCTCCACAGCCTTGACATGCTGACAAAAGGCATATGGATTCATGGATATTCAGAGAGATTTCTGTTCTCATCTGACAAGAGTGGAACCCACTGTGACCTCTCTGATCTTAGATGTGAACTGAAAGTTTTTTGTTTTCTATCTGCTTCATTTTATTCACTTCAGCCACATGAGTGACTTCTTGGATGACCACATGAATAGCTGAGTAAGTTTATGTGCTACTTGACTGAATAAACGTCTTGACAGTTTGTGTAAAGCTGGTTGTTTGCTTACCAGAAGGTCGGTGGGTCCATCCTCGGCTTCTCCAGTCTGTATGCCGAGACAATGAGTCTTAAACAGCTTCTGAAAGCTGTGCCAGCAATGCATGATTAAGAAAAGAAAACACTGTGTATGGAAGTGCTGTGGGAATGTGATTTGTATTGTTAAGTGCTTTGACTGGTCAATAAGACTAGAAAACTGCTATATAAATACAGTGAATTTACTATTCTATTTGTAAACCCTTTATTTGTACGGGTGATTTAGTCAGATGTGTGCATTTCTTTAAATGAAAATGTGTCACTGAGGGCTACTTTCTGTTTAGTCTATGCCACGATGAGGAACCTGGCTAAGAAGGAGCGCCTATTAGAGAGCGTGAAAGGCCTGCACCAGGACACGCTGGACATTCTCCAAATGGATGTGACGGAGCGTCAGTCCATTCTGGATGCGAGGGACAGGGTTGTGGAGAAGCGGGTGGACATTCTGGGTATGGCCTCATGACCGTGTGTTCTGATCAGGATTAACATTTTAGCATGTCATTAATCTTGTCCTCACTGCTTACAGTGTGTAATGCTGGTGTGGGTCTGATGGGGCCTCTGGAGCTGCAGTCCTTGGACTCCATGAGGCAGATTCTTGAGGTCAACCTCTTGGGCACCATCCAGACCATCCAGGCCTTCCTACCTGAGATGAAGGCTCAAGGTCAGGGCCGCATTCTGGTAACAGGGAGCACCGGAGGGCTTCACGGTGAGATAAGGAGTCGCTGCTGGTCAGCTAAGTTGCACATGTGCAGTTTCTGTAATGATTTGAATGGGAGTCATGTTAGCAAACCATGTCAAGACTTGCTGCCATGCATGAAATTGCCAAAATAACCTGTCTTGGCACTTGTCATCTCATCTCTCACAGGTCTCCCTTTTAATGAGTTGTACTGTGCCAGTAAATTTGCAATAGAGGGAGCATGTGAGAGTTTGGCTGTTCTCCTGCAACACTTCAATATCCAGTGAGTTTTAAATTGTGCTGTCGTTTGCTTCCTGTGTTTAGAGACTTATTGCTGTACAAAGTTTAGTAGCAAACAATTGATCAGGAGAAACTATTGACCCGATGCTTCGTCCTGCAGCGTGAGTCTGATCGAGTGTGGTCCAGTCAACACTGATTTCCTGGTCAACCTGCAAAAGGCGGAGCTTGGGGATGCATCTCTTCAACAGGTCGATACCCACACACTCGGCCTGTATGAAAAGTACCTGCAGCACTGCGACTCTGTTTTCCGAAACGCAGCACAGGACACAGAGGACATTGTAAAGGTGTGGTGTATTTTCAGAGCACATCATGACACACACACACACACATGCACACACACACATGCACACACTCTTTTCACAGGGCTGTGGTACAAAGTAGATTTTTCTTCAGGCAGTAATTATACTTTATTTCTTTTTCATGCCATTTTATACATTTTAAAATGTTACTAATTAATATACTCTCTACAGAAAATACTCTCTGTGAATGCTCACAAACTTTTTAACAGAGGCAGTTTGCATTGTATTGCCACTTGCCCGAGAAGATAAGAAAATTCATATAATGTATTTATAGCCTGTGTCGCTGTGAGTGCAGCCACACATCTAACTGTTGTGATGTGTTTGTTTTTCTCTCCAAGGTATTTCTAGATGCCATCCAGTCACCCAGCCCTGCGTTCAGATACTTCACCAGTGGTGTCGTTCCACCTCTTACCCAAATGAAGATCACAGAACCAGACGGCTCACGGTGCATCCGTGCTATGAGCAAAATCATTTTCTCAGCCGAGGAAAACTAACTTCCACTCTAGCACATGCAAGCCTCTGCTTCATATGCAGACTTTGCCTCCCTTTACTTTAGATACAGAGGTTGATCATTTTTTGTTTTCATTTTCATTTCCTGGAATAAAGTTGATGCTCTCTGACTCACTCTTGTTGCTCAACTGGAAAGGGCAGTAAGTTCAGTATTTTGTGGAAAGAGTTCACACAAGGGATGGACTCCATGCTTCTATATTTGTATGTCCCTTACCCGTATTCACATTTCTTATCACAAAAAAATACAAAAATAAACAGTTTTCTGTGGTTGGTGAAGAAATACTTGATAAGGATTTTGTGTTATGATACAAAAGCACTCCAGACATTAGGAGGTGTTCTTATTCACACACACACACACACACACACACACACACACACACACACACACACAGCATATTTTCACTGGGGAGTTTCTGGACACATTGTTAAAGAGAAGACTGCAGTGTAATTTTTTTTGTTTTCTATTCTGAGAAAACAAAGACAACTTCCTGACACCAAATAATAAAATAATAAAAAGGTTCCAGGAAACTTTCCACAGTCATGAATGACACTAAAAATATCAGTTGCCCTTCAGCTGACCAATTTGTTCCAAATGAAATAAACTAAATCTCTTGCAGATTGCATTGCACAGGTCTTCATGTTGTTGTAACTTCTGTCTCTATCAATAAGAAATAGTGAATATTTAGTATTCATAGTAATGTTAAAATGTGAAAATGGTTAGAAATTGGAAAGAGGCCATATGAAATCTATGGGGTTATCTGAAGTGCTAAAAGTAGGTTGTAAGGGGGACGATAACCATTTTGAATCACTTAACTGTATTAAGTTCAGTGTTTTAAGGTGGAAAAGAAGGCCAGGCGTCTCCAGCTGGAACAGCATTGTTTCCTGTGTAACTTCTGGCTCTGTCTGGGGTTGTTAAGCCCTTGAGTGGTTTCTCTTTCTAACCTGAGACAGTCTGTCTTGTCTGTGCGTCGATGAGACACATTTCCAAGGTCAATCTTTGATAGGATTGACAGAGGTTCTAAAATACCTCCCTGATCAAGAGCCCTAATTCCAGTCGGAAAATCCTGAAATGGATCCAGCACTAGTTCTGCCACGTAATCCAGCAGCACTTACAGGTGTCAGCCTAGAGCAGGGGTCACCAACCTTTTTGAAACTGAGAGCTACTTCATGTGTACTGAGTCATACGAAGGGCTACCAGTTTGATACACTCTTCTGAAATAACAAATTTGCTCAGTTTGCCTTTAGTTATACATCATTATTAATGATAAATGATACTCATCTATGTGAGGACACTGATCACGTTAATGATTTCTCACAATAATTATCAACAATCACTTGACAAGGTGGGAAACAGATTATATCAATATTCAACACTTTATTTCTATTAATCTCAGCAATTGTTTAGAAAGTTTCAGATGATCACTTGTACAACATTTCATCCGAAAAATGTTCCATTTTCACTAGCCACTGACAAACCCTTTTAACAAATCAAAACAAATAGTCAACTTCAATATGAGAATAGAAATTTGACAGTATAAAAAATAAATAATTAAATTGAATTAGAAACGCATATCAAATTTTAGATGCAGCTCACTGGTGAGTTGTGTTATTTTTAGAACAGGCCTGCGGGGTGTTGGTGACCCCTGGCCTAGAGCCTGTGGTATTATGTAGATCGGTATAATAAGGGTAAGGTAAAGGCTGTTGTAAAATGTTTAAATGATGGTGTTTCTTACCATCATGTAAACATTTTCATTTTTTTTATTTTTATCATTTTATTATTGCTCTGAATTGGACATTATGAAAAAGATGGCCTTTATTCCAGTGTAGGACCAAAGTCCAGGTTTATCATGTGGACAGCATGTGCTGACTGGACTCACTGCTCACTAGCTCGCACACATTCACTTTGACTTGTTCACAGAAACCTCTCCTAACCCTGTGATGAGTTCACTGGCAAACATTTTCAGTGGTTGAATCACAGATGACTAAGAGGAGACAAACCTGTATTTCCTCCTTTTCTTATTTCGTAGAGTTTATTTCACGCAATTCAAATTAATTAAAACTAAATTTAATTTTGGGGTGATGTTAATGAGAACACTACACATATAAGCATAAAGGAGAAAAAAACGAAAGAGAGGAAAATATATATAGCATTTAGGGCTGGGAAATACGAATATAAAAATATATCCATACAATGAGTATCCATTGTGTGTGAATAACAGAATCTAAGATAGCTGTTTATTCCAAATAAAATGTCTTCTGAGCTAATTTAGATTTTGTGACACATTTAATTGCTTAATAAAGCTCAAACTTCCATTTCACCATTTTGACAAATCACCTCTTGACCTTTAAACTTGTCGACCTGTCCCTCTGATTGGCCAGAGCAGGGCCTGCTGTCACGTCACCGTCCTGTACAGTCAGGTGGGGGCGCAAGTGACGCATCAGTGTGAACGAAGCCAGGTAGAGTGAGGCTGTTGCTGCTGCTGCACAAATACACCGTCATCAAGAATCTCCATTACATCTGAGTTTAAAACTTCACCATGACCAACAAAACGACTCCTCTGCTGTTGAAGACGCTGCTGGAGCTGCGTGAAGCCCAGGCTACTAAAGTTCTGCGAGGAAACACGAGAAGAGCAAACTTCAGGTGAGCCACGATGAGACTTCTCCACAGGTGGGTGGAGTTGAAGTGGGCTTGTTTGGGTTCAAGTGTATTAGTTATTAAAGTGAAACCCATGGTATGATTTCCACCTGAATATTCTGTAGTTATTTTACTTGTAGTTATTTAACTTTGGCACATGGTAGGATTTCGACCTGAATATTCTTTAGTTGTTTTATCATTAGTTTTTTAAAATGTAGCCCATGGTAGGATTTAGATCGGAGTATTCTGTAGTTGTTTAATTATTCAAAAGGGTAGAGCCATCAGTAAGCTACCTTAAATGTTCTTTGGTTTCACGAACCAAAGAACATTTAAATTAACTTGATCCAGATTTTTATATGTAACTGAACTTTGCAATTTTCTATCAATGTTGCAAAATGTTGCAGATCCACATGAGAGTTAAAAGGCTTCTTTCCTGACTCCTACCACATCCTTCCACTAAGTTTTGTAATAATCCATCCAGTAGTTTTTGAGCTTAATTCATTAATGTGCTCCAACATACTTATATTCTTAATCCCCCCCCCCCCCCCCCCCAGACACTTGGGCTCCTGTGGGGCCCTGGCAGCGAGGAGGACCAGCCTGCCCCTCTGTCCCGCCACCTCCATCAGCATACCCAGCCGCAGCTTCATCAACCTGGTTGTTCCTATCAGCACCCGCAGGATGGAGTACACAGAGTGCCGGACATTAGGGTGAGTGCTCTGAAAACTGCAATAACATGCCTGTTACTCTATAGAAACTTTCAAAATTTGACTATTTTAGTGCTTTGGACTTTTAACTAATTGTCTGCACCCCCTTATTGTCCTGACGTGACTGTGTGCTCAGGTATACTCCAGAGCAGATGTTCAATGTGGTGGCCAGAGTGGATCAGTACCAGCACTTTGTTCCCTGGTGCAAGAAGTCTCGGATCATGAAGGGACGAGACGGAGGTGTCCGGGCAGAGCTCGAAATCGGTTTCCCTCCCATTGTGGATCGCTACACCTCTGAGGTCACGGTCATCCCAAACCACCAAGTCAGAGTAAGTCTTTGCCTTGGTAGATCCAGAAAAAACTCCATTACAAATACTTTTTTCCTCAACACTTGCTTGTTTCTTATGCAGAGTCCCATCAACTATACAATGCATCTAATGTTATTGCCTTGTCATCACCCTTTTCAGCATTCAGTGACAATAAAGGCTTCTTTGTTGTGAAACAGGCTGTGTGCACTGATGGATCCCTCTTCAGCCATCTTGAAACAGTATGGAGGTTTGCCCCCGGAACCAAAGACCTAGCAGACTCCTGCAAAGTGGATTTCTATGTAAGTGTATAAAATAAAATACAATTTTTGTTGTGCAATGAAAATATAATAATGTTAACAATGACAGGAATAAAACAGAAGTGAAAGTGAATCCATGAAATTAACAAACCCACTGATAATAAAAAACCCAACGATTGAGGGATAAGATTGCATGTGTAAAGAGAGACTAATTAAAAGCCTCCGCCTCTGTGCTGGGTGTGTTGCGTAAAATCTCATTATGCTGTAAAGTTAGCCTTGAATAGCATGGTGATGTCCTGGAGGCCTGAAATAGCTGTCAGGTTAGGGAACAGAATTAATGTTGACAGGAGTTTAACCTTAATGTTGGCTCACGTAACCTCAGGCTCAGCCAGGAAGTGGTTAGATTACAGTAAAACACACCAAATACAGAACTCAGGAGGACTGGTTATTGTGAACTTTTAAAAAAAAGTTTTTAATTTTGGTGATCTTCAAATTTTCCAATTCATAAATGATTTTTTCTAATAATAATAATCTATAAACAATTCCCAATACATGAATAATGGCCACACATTTGAAGCTGTATCACCCTGATTTGTCTGTGGCAAGACCCGCACATAAGACCCTGTGTTTCCCACAGAATTGATTCAGTCTGTGGCGGTAGTGTTGGTGCTGAAACTATCAGGTCTGACAGTCTGCATGTGCTGTAAAAACTATGGACAAGCATGAGTGAGAGCGATAGCAAGTGAGCACAAGGCAAATAGCTCTTCAAAAAACAATTTTAGGTTGTTTTTGGTTCATTATGAAACTCTGGCATAACAAATAAGAATATGCTGTGCAGCCACAGTCTGTTAATGATTAATGGAAAACACTGAAGAAAGACAGTAACACAGGTTATTTTTAATCTCAGTTGTTCATATTTCACTTTAATATTAAATAAGCTAGTATAAAGCTTTTTACACATTGAACTGTTGCCAGAGTCCCTCATTCTAATTGTTCTTTAAGTTCTTTAATTATTATTAAGCTCTATTTCTCTCCCTCTTTTTGCTGATCTGAAAAATGATCAGAGCCAAGCTGTGTTTTATGCCCCGTTGCATCCTGCCTGATAATTGTCCCTCTCCTGTTTTGTCTTTAGTTGTCGTTTGAGTTCAAGTCCCTTCTGCACTCTCAGCTGGCCAGCGTGTTCTTTGACGAGGTGGCAAAGCAGATGGTCGGTGCCTTTGAGGGCAGGGCAGCAGCACTTTATAGAAACCAGCAGGAGGCGTCACTGAGGAGGCGGTCGACATAAGAACATCCCCTCCATCCCCATCCACATGGACCTTTCATAAAACCCTGCCAGCCTGCTGCACTTTTCCACTTCCAACACTGTTCTGACACAGGAGACTGGATTTTCCTTTTTGCACTCACTCATATCTCGTTCTTGAGTTGACATGCACAAGAAATATACTTTAAACTATTTATTTATAAGCCACAATCTAACTTTTTTTGTTCATATTTGAATATTTATTTTACAGCTTGGCATATATATTTTTTTTCAAATGATCTTTTTGAACACAAATGTTTTCTTTGTTAAATTGTAGGTTAATGTACAGTCACCTGATTCCTGCGCAGTGCTGAAACATCTAAAAGGGTTCAGAGCTTGTTCTTGTTCGGTCATGTTGTTCAGTGGTATTAAAAAGCTCTTGTGTCATCTGTCCAAGTGTCATTGGAGCTTTTTTCCTAATGTACTGTTTCAAACTAATAAGGTTTAGATTACATCTCTATCTCATCTGTTGCTAAAATGAATGCATTACTACTCTATATTATGTCATTTTCTTTTCTTTCTTCATATTCATTATTTTTCAATCTAAATAAGTTTAGGTCATGTCTATCCTCCTTTATATGCTATGTGAGATACCTTCATTTTAACAATAGCCTCCCAAGTAATGCGTCCATGTGTTGCTGAGCTATTTGTTACACACACACGGATGAAAACAATTTTTGTGTAGTTTTGCCAACACACAGGTAAATATAAGTTGAGGAGTAGAAGCACCCCTCATTTCTAGAATCTGAATAAGCGAAAAGTACAAGAAATAGTTCTGTTGGTGTTGAAACATATATAAACAAGAGCACTTTCACTAAGCACAGACATTGTTTAGAGAAGGGAAGTTTTTGTTGCCCTATCTTTTGTGGCTCTGTTTGAAAACTCAAAGGGCACGTCACATCTATGGGCAAGGCCAAGGGAGAGGAATTGGGACAGAAGTACTGAACTTTGTCACTATTAGACAATCAACTTAACTCAATTTTCCATTTGTTTAACCTTCTCAACTTGACATCAATAAAGGGGGCAGGCCATGGATTTCGGAGTGTTTTTCATAAGCAGAAGGAGACTCAGAGTCCAAAACCACAAGGATGAAGACGATTGCAGTGCTGATTCTTGCCTTCAGCTGCTGTCTAAGTGAAGCGCAAGTTAAAGAAAATGGGGACATCGCTGATCATTGTACAGGATCAAGCAGGTGCTGTGAAATATGCGGCCTCACTTCTGTAGCCCGAAACCTGGGAGCTGTGGAAGAGAGAATCACAAACATGGCAGAGAAAATAACACTTCTGGAGTCCAAGTTGCAAAATACTGAAAAAGAAGTCCTGGAGCTACGGAGCCTCACCACAAGTAAGACCGTTTTTTATTAGTTTATGGAATACAAAAACTTTTCCTTCAAATCTTACCTCATGTTTGTGGTAATGGTGTTCTCAGGCACACCTCAGGTGGCCTTTTCTGTAGCTCTCAGGGACTCTGGCAGTGGAAACATTGGACCTTTCAACATTGACACCCCACTAAAGTACAAGAAGGTCTTCTCAAATACTGGCAATAACTACGATCCTTCAACAGGTAGTGTATGAGAGAAAGAGGTAAAGACACAGAAATAAGTGAAGAACTCATTCAATGTAAATCATTATCTATTCTCCTTCCTTTGGCAGGCATTTTCACAGCAGTGGTCGGAGGAATGTACTTCTTTCGATTCTCAATGTTCAACAACTTGGCTTCTACTCCCAGCTCTGTTTTGAGCCTCATGAAGAACGGCCAACGGCTGGTATCTGTGTGGGACACCTCAGGGACTGACGCTAACGACATGGGCAGCAACGCTGCGGTCATCGCCCTCAGCGCGGGTGACAGTGTGCATATCGAGCTCCCGGCAAACAGGATAGTCTATGATGATTCCATGAACTACAACACCTTCACTGGTTTTCTGCTCTTCACCATGTGATTCAAACAACACAATTTAATGTCTGCATAGCTCTTCATGCTTTTGCAATAAAACATCCAACTTTATTATCTCTGACTAACTAACTGTTAATTATGGAAAGTGGAAAGAATAATTAATGTATCATAAATCAGACATGTTTAGGGGACTGATAAAGTGTGTGCAATTTGGTGCAGATCCAAATAAAATGTGGATCATGTGATTTTAAATGTGGTTTCATAAGGGGGCTGTTGGGCCTTGGCAAAGGTATTGACTCTACTAGTTAGTAATGTTAGTGTCTGTTGACTTACACACACAAATACACACAATGGTAAGATTGTAAATTATAAAGATAATAAAGTAATAAAATAAATACAAAAGCACTGGTGCGTGAGTTTTTGTACAACCATTACTGTTTTGCATGCATACACAGATACAGTAAATATACCAATAGCTTTAGCTGTTCTCTGAGCCAACTCTGGACAGGCTCATCAGCTCTCTAGAAGCCTCAATGAAATATCGGTAACTAAGGGCACATGGAAAAGCTTCCACCAAGGCTATTGCCTTATCTCTCCACATCAAATAATCTGCCAATTTATCCAGGTCTGTTGCAAAATTCATTGGGTTCTTTCTTGGGTTGTATCCCACCCCTCCACAAACTTTAATGCAAATCAGTTCAGTCGCTTTTGAGAAATCCTGCTGACAGACAGACTACCAAACTGTAATGAACACACAACCTTAGCGTTTTGTGTTTTGAAAACACTTGAATTTTCTTATTTTAACCCAAAAAATCTATAACTCATATTAGAAATCACAACTCAGATCTTTACTATGTGATTCAAACAGCATCATTTCAGGCCTGCTTATTTTCAAAAATGGAAGAATCCCAGTTTATTCATACTAGGTGGTAGCTTTGAAAGAGAATCTCAAAATGATTCACAGCTGAAACAACATATTATTGAAGTGTAATGGTCAAATGTAAAATAACATTTTATACATATACTGTATATATTATATAAATATATAATATATACAGTATATGTATATATGATAGTATATATATTATATATATTTTATGTGTGGCTCTGAAACAATATTCATCTGTTCATTTATTAAGTAACACATGTATTATATATTCCAAGCTACAGTACAGGCTGAAGAGTGTGGTCCCAGTTTGTATTAAAGCAAGAATGTACAGTAGTGTTCAAGGCACTCAAGAACATTAATATTATATTCATATCTCTGTCTTGTACAGTAAGTTGACACCAATGTAATGAATCTACTCTTGAACAGTGAGGTTGGCTGAGCAGCACGCCTCCCCATGCTCATTGGTGGCTCTACAGGTGTAAATATTGGCGTCCGTGGCCTCAACTTTGGCAAGGACCAGGGTACATCGGCCGTCTTCCTCATACTCTATCTGCACCGTTGGTGTCTCCACTATGGGCTCCTTTCCACACAGCCACACCACCTCAGGGTCGGGGTATCCTGCCAAGATATAGATGGGATGAGTGAGAACAGGGGACAGAGGCAGAGGTGCCAAGTTCACATCCTGTCAAAAGTTTGTAAAACAAATTGTTAAATTCAAAATTGAAATGTTTATTTCAAAACTTTTAAAAATGGAACACCTAATAATGGTTCATGCAATTTGTGTGACAGATTTCACTCAATCAATACTATTGTGTTGGGAAGTCTTCCCATTGAGGGTGAACAGGGTGTCTAGTAGGAGTGTTGAATGCAACCCCAGCCTTGACTCCTCCTCCAGCCAAACCCTCAATCAGAGGCAGGCTATATGAGGCACCATGAGGAGCGTGGGCCTTTGTTCCTCCTTTCTGCAGCTTGTCCTGCCTTGGTTGTAGCTGGTGGTGTTGGTGACACAGGTACAAAGCTAAAGTGTCAAGTTGTCTCTGTTTAAGTCATTTTCTGTTGTATATTGTCTAAGTTTGCTGCCTCCATTTCAGTGACATGTGTTAAGGCCTCATACTAACGCAACATGATCAGCCTGGCTAATCATGATGTTTTTCTTGTGTTGGTGTCCCCTGCTGCTGTTTTGTTATTATTGGTGCTATTCTTTTTGGCTGTGTTTTGCCTGATTGCGTAGCTTTTTTAATCGTCAGTTTTGTTAATTTGACAAACTTGGCTTATCTTTTGCTTGAGCTATATTTTGTTTTCAGTGCAGCTGAGTGCCACACATCTGGGTGGATAGGCATTCCTGGTTAGGCTCCTGCATTTTATGCATGTAAGAGCACTAAGACATTCTTATTTTTAGGGATTGTAGTTTAAGTTTGTTTTTTTCTTTTTTTACATACTAAAGTAAATGTAATAAAATAAGCCAGCGCATTGAATTTACTATTTTGGATTGAATAAAATCTTTGTAACTGACTAAACGTGTCTCTGCCTCTGTCTGTGCATTTAATCTGTGTCCAAAGAATGACCTTGAGACAGTAGCCCCTGGGGTGCAATTGCACAGGTGGCATAGTTGTTCACACCTCATTCTGTTTATGGCCCCACCACACTTTCAAAGTCTTTGAGGAGTCAAGCCAATTACCTGCGTGGTGAACAAAGAACACCATGATATAGTAATGGAAAGTTAGATATAGGCACCAAAGCTCTTCAATTTTGCAAAGCAAACTGGTTGGAAACTGCTTTTAACAAATTGCCATTTCCACCTGCCTGATGTTCAGTCTCATATCACTTAAACAATACAAAGGGTCTGACAGCTGGAAAGTTTTCACACTATCCCCCATAAACTAACTAACATTCCTCATATGTAACCACATTTAAATTCAATTTATATTTTTACTTAGAGCTGCATACTGTATATAATATATATATTAAGATGAAAAGAAATTACATCCTAAGGACAACCCATCTAAATTTATTTGAACAAGATGGATAGCAGCATGTACATTTCTCGCAGCACCTTAACACTGAGATTTAGAATACGTATTGAAACACAAAAATCTGAGACACTGAATGCATTTTTAAATAGCGTTATCAATTGTTAATTTATTCAAACTACCTGATGTCCCTTTTTTGTCTGCCTTAGATGCTTTTTAAGATATCTCTTGACATGCGTCGCAAGCTTGTGTGCCTATTCCTATTGTAATGTCAGGAAGAATACAGGGTACTTTTGGAGCTCTCAAGGGTAAGACGTCAGTGTCTACCTGTGAGGTGGCATGAGAGACAGGCACTGGATCCTCGAGCCACTGTCTGGTCCTCCAGACACTGGGTGAAGTGCGGTGGCCCCTGCATCTTCTTCTCCAGATACTCGAGGGCATGCTCTGCTTCTGGGCTAAGGGGTGAGCCTGGAAAAGAGGGTAGTAGCGAGGTGGAAACAGGTTATAACAGGAAACTAAAATAGTTCTGAAAACAGTAAGATAATAAATTGTGTCTCTTACCTCCCCCAGAGCTGGTTGGAGATCCAGAGCTTTCGCCTTTGGATAGTAAAGTCATTCTCGTCAGGGCAAGCATGGCCTTACCTGCTTTCTATGAGACAAAGATTGTGAAGGCAAAACCAACAACACTCCCATGTAAGTAAAGTAATGAGATGGGTTACCTTCCACTTCTGCCTGGCCAGAAACCTCTTCATCTTCTCCTTGGACAGACACTTGGTGTTGGCACAATCTCCAGAGTCAAATGCTGCCATCCAAGGGTGGGCGAGGGCCTCTACACAGGACATCCTCCGTCTGACAAACACAGAGGGTTATGGTGGTTAAGTGAAGATTTTAACTGAGCAAGTGGCATTAGCTTCAAGTTTATAAATGTACCTGGTGTCCTTGTTGAGCAGTGAACTGATGAAATTCTTGGCCTCATCTGTTATTTCCTCAAAGCTCTCCTCATCAAATTCCCAATGAGCAGCTGTGACCGAGGCCAGGGTCTCTGTATCGCTGTCTCCCTGGAAAGGAGACTCACCACTCAGTCTGAAAACCAGAGACAGGCATTGAAGCTGCAGTGTCATTATGGCTGTTACAACCTATATCCATTAGGTGGCAGTAAAAGTGTAAAATTCAAAATGTTAATCCATCATGAATATTAGCACCAACACGATCCAAAAATCAAATCTATTCAAATCAATTTTTGGAGTTTTAAGCTTCTACAGGCCTGTTAGCTAAATGGATTAGATTAAATTCTAACTTGATGTGATAAGAATGTTCTCTCACAAGTTCATAAATGGCAGTATGCTGGATGTGCATGACACAAATTGGTAATGTAACATTTTGGAAAGCATTATTACTTAAAAATTTTTTTAAGGGTTGAGAAGTTTGCAGATGAAAGATGAAAATACCACTGGTGACTAGAACAGGGAGAAACTGTAATCCTGGCACAGCCCAATAATCTACCGACCAGTAACCTCTGCAGCTCACTGATTAATATAATATGTGACAAAGTATTATGTCACATTTTGAGTTTTCTTCAATATGACAAACGGCATTATCAATCATTTGGAGCTGTGTGTCTGGCCCGCTGATGATTGTTGGTCAAATATACATTTCAATTTCAGCTTTGTGTTTGGTCTCTACCAACTCCTGAGGAAAATATCTGGTTCTCACTAACTCACAAACTGTCTGCTGTGTCATGCTAAATAGATTATCCATGGTGGGTTTTAAAGCTTTTTGCAGAAAACACTATGAAATTTGGATTGTAGCTTGAAGATTGTTCTTGGGCTTAGGTATCAGATTGGAGAGACTCCAATAGCTTTAGAGATTCTGGTAGATATATTTTTTATATTACCTGTCAGGCTAGCAATTCCCCCCCCGTCTCCAGTCTTTGTGCTAAGCTAACAGGCCTCTCCCTGCGGCATTTTATATTTCTTGCACAGACATGACCTTTCCGTCTCACTCTCACCACAAAGCATGACTCCAAAAATGTCAAACTGTTACTTTAATGTAGATAAGACTATTGGAGTTACAGTGACTTACAATATGTAGCAGATCACTCCAATGCTCCACATGTCAGTGGCTAAACACACAGGCTCATAGTTTATCACTTCCGGTGCCACAAACTCTGGAGTCCCATGCATTACCTTCAGAGGCGTGTTTGGATCTGTTAAACACAATGATTTGATATTGAAACATAACATAACATACTTAGATAAATATTATGAGACTTTAATTTCACATACCAAACTTGCTGGCTAATCCGAAGTCAATAATCTTTATGGAGGTACCAATGGTGTCAATGCACACAATGTTCTCAGGTTTGAGGTCCAGGTGGATAATGTTTTGCTCATGCATATACGCAATCCCCTCCAGGATCTGCTGCATGTAGTGCACACTGGCTGGCTCTGTGTGTTCAAAGCTGTCATCTACAATACGTTCAAACAGTTCCCCACCTGCGATACTGCACACAGACAAAACACAGTGACAGCAAACCGTTATTTTATTTCTCTGTAAGAGTTTGCAGTTGTTATAAGAATTTAAAGGTTCAGTGTGTGGAATATATTGACACCCAGTGGTGAAGTTGCATGTTGCAGCCGAATACCCCTTACATTACCCTCTCGTTCCAAACCTGAAAGAGAACATGTGGCAGCCTTCGGTTTTCATAAAAATTCAAAAGGTGATTAGTTTGTCCAGTCTGGGCTACTGTAAAAAACATGGCAGCCTATGTAGAGAGGACTCCTTCCCAATGTCAATATAAAGTATTTAAATATAAAGTTCCCATTCTAGGGTGAAGATAACTATAATTTAGATGAAACACTAGTGAAAACATCACTTGGATTATTTTAAATTGAATTTGCACCAATAGATTAATTTTACCTAAATCTTTCACACTGGACCTTTAAACAAGCAGTGTGTAGCTTTAAGTGGCATCTAGTGGTAAGGTTGCAAACTGCAACCAATTGAATACCACTCTGGTGTATCTTTCTGGGTGTGTCAGAAAAACTATGAAGTAAAAACATATAAGGACCCATGTAGAGTGTCTTGGTTTGTCCATGGCACTGCAACATGATGGTTTACATGTATGAGCATCCTAAATGATTGTTCTAAGAAAACAAAAACACAATGTTTCGGGCAATTGAAAACAAATATTATGTTCCATTACTGCCAATAGATTCCACTAAATCCTACACATTTAAACCGTGTCAGGTTTTCGTCTTGATACTCACAATTCCATGACCATGACCATCTCAGGCTTGTGATCGTAGGCCGCCAGACAATGAACCAGTTTGGGGTGGTGGAGATAGTTCATCAACTCTATCTCTTTACGAGCAGCCTCCCTTTCCTTGGCACGTCGGCCTTTGTAAAATTTCCCAGCGCACACTCGTCCCGTCTCTTTGTCAGTTAGTTTGAACACCAGGCCAAACTTTCCCCTTCAACAGAAACATGAATGTTGTGTCATTATAAATCTTGAAAAATGTGGTCATGCAATGAAGTCAGCCCATCACAGTGTCTATTTACTGATGGAGGCTGATTAAAAATCCCAGAAAACAAAACCTTTTGTAATACTAGCACCATCTTGAACTGCAGCCATTGAAAACATTTGTTTGCTCAACAGAACCTTGTCTCTACATGCATTTGTTTTAATCCTTTGCCACACTTGGCAGGACTTACCATATTCCAGATAACTCTTCAAAAAAAGGCTTGAGGCTCATTGAAAATTAGCGCTTGGTTTGTCAGATACTCACATTCCCAGTTTCTCCTGCAAAACATAGTGGTCTGTGACTTTGTGGGAAGAGTCAATAGAGACACAGGTGTACGCCTGAAGGGCCTCCTCTTCTTGCAGTTTGTCTGAATCTATGCATCCAGACACAATAGCTGTAATATATGTCTTACAATGATTGTCAGCATTTTCCAATGTGGTATTTAGCTAATGACTCACCTTCCTGCTCCATCTTAACCACAGGTGACACTGGTCCTGGTTCGCTTACTCCCACTGCGTTGTAGGCCCTAACTCTGAAACAGTATTGCTCTCCAGGGGGCAGCCCAGCAGACACTCTGTATGAAGTACTCCTACACTGGGCAGTGAGTTTGCTCCAGTCCCCGGCCTCAGCACTTCCACGTTTCTTTACCTCAACCACATAACCCAGGATGGCGCTGCCACCGTCGTAGCAGGGTCCGGACCAGGACAGCACCAGGCTGGTGGCAGAGACACGGGAGATCACGGGGGAAGAGGCAGGAGGCTCTGGCCTCTCTGGTTGGGAAGGAGGGGTGATGAATATAAAAGTGTTTTTACAACTTCTCATGGACGTTCAAAGTGCAGAGTGCGTCATCTTACCTATTACAGAAAGTGTGATCGTGTTTTGCGCTGAGCTCTTTCGGTCCCTCACTACAATAGTGTAGCAACCTGTGTGCTGTGGTTTGGTCTCTGCTATCACCAGTGTGCTGCTCTGATCTGTATTTTCTGTCCACAGCTCTGGACCATCCACTATCTGCAGGGTGGCAATATGTGAGGTTTACATACTGACAAAAGCAGGGGAGATAAAGTTGGAATGACAAACAGTGAATATTTGTGAATTAGCTTATAAAATAACAACACCTGTTCTTTGTTATTGATCCAACAGGACACCAGAGGGGGGCTGCCACTGAACCGAGACAACAGACGGGCGGTCTGTCCCACCTTCACCTTGAGGTGCTGTGGGGGGTTCTCAAAATGCAGTGTTGCACCTGCAAAGCCAAAAAATAGTGAGTGCTTTGATTCAAAGTCTGCCTGTTTGTTGCAGTGTCTTCATTCCTAAAACATGACGCTAGAGGAAGGAAATGATCCAGTGTGGTGTGTGTGAGTGAAGATAAAGACAGGGGCGCTGCAACAGGGTAGGCAAAGAAGGCAATTGCCTGGGGCCTGGGCTGAGAGGCCCGCCCCTACAACTGATTATGTCTCTCCACAGCAATGAAACACCATGATGAGCCTTCTTCTAAAAGTGTCATAGTTTTGGTTGAAGACTAAAACATCTAAATGTGTGTGTGTCTGGGATGATGGTGGAGGTTTGCACTCAAAGTTTCTTGCTTTAATATTTATGTGAATGCACAGTATGCACTTTATAATTTGAATACTAAAAGATTAATTTGGAAAGTGGAATGAGGTGGTGTGGTATCATGTCTTTCTTTTGGGGGGGGTGCTGTTCAGTTTGTTTTGATCCAGGAACCCCAGGTTTTTTTCTTTGAGCCCCAAAATCCGTTGGAACGCCCCTGTCTGTACTGTACTGTAAAACTGGGAGTGTATTACTTCCCCTGAGACCCTTATTATTGTAGTGCACTGCAGACGTAGTGTCTCAAGTGGAAACAAAAGACAAAACACAGTTAAACTACACCACAAGCAAAACCAGTCCTTGTGCAACCAACTGTGTTAAACACTGCTACACTAGATCACCTGTTCTCTGAGGAGACCTAAAGATTAATATTTTTCATAAACTTCGAACTAATCACTTAAACAAATATGCATAAAAAAAAAGCAAACAGAGCATTTATTTTAAGTCATGCACAGCAGCCTATCCCATATATGAGCTGAAGATATATCATGTCTGACGCGGCCAGTATTCAAATATAATCGCGTCAGAATGGTCAATTTGACTGGACAATCTGATGCAACTTTAATATATTTACTTTACATGGCCAATTGTGCTGCCGTCTTTTTCATAGCAGTGTCTCAAACATTTCTCTTTGCTGCAAGAGTATGATGCATCCTGTGCATCAATAACAGACTGACTTTAGATTTTATTGTCCCCCAGGGGATATTTGATTTCACAGCCATTCCGGTACAATCAATGCTAATAGACACATTTCAACAGAGGCAACCCAGCGTTAGGACAGAACATCACATGCAACATAAACATAAACACTCTTGCACAATAACAGACATCCACAATTTATAATGTTTAGTTCTAAGGTAAGGTTCCCTTTTAATGTATATGAGCAAAATAACATTATAACAAGACCAAAGGCCAAAAAATAAGAAGTAGCTGCCAGGTAAAACCCCAGGATACACAAGAACAAACAGATTCTATGAAGAGGCTGGTTTGGACAGTGAACAAAGTGGAGTAGAAAATGTGTGTGTTGGAATAGACAGGTGTCAAAGATGGTGAAAAAGAATGAGTGTGTGTGTTTCTTACCTTTCCCTGAGTCAGCTCTCTTCTTTGGTATAACTTCTGCAGAAGCAGATGAGGTAGGTTTAGTCAGGATGTTTAGAGGTGTGGTCCTGTTCTGCCTATGGCTATCAGTTTTCAGACACTGCGTTACTGTGTCACTGTCCACTTCCCTACATGGTGCTCACTTGTGTTTTGTGGCTGTATTAGAAAGCTACATAGCTGTGAAAATCCTGCACTATTGCTGTTCAGTATACATGTTGTCTGACACTCAATTACACAAGGACTGGAAATGATGTGTTTCCCTTCATTTATTTATGGATATCCGGTGTGGGAACAATGTTAAAGAGGCAGAGATATGTATATACAGTATATATTCAGCCCTCAAACATGCATGTGTAAGTAATAATGGATGTAACAACCTACATATGCCAAAATACTTTGGACCTATATGTGAAATTTGTAATTATATGATTACCTCTCGGAGATGAGACCGTTCTCTGCTTGTCAGACACTGGAGGAGAGGTACAAGTAGATCCTCCGAACTCCTGCAGCTCATCTGTGGGAGGTGACGGTGACCTTCCATTCTTCATAATGCTTTTGGATGCAGAAGTTGGGATCTTTGAGACCCAATTCTGCACACCGCAGATAGTTTCAAAGTCTGGATTGGTGGTAAGAGTGAGGGAAAGGAGAAGTAACATCAGAAGTGAAACTTGTTAGTTCTTATTTTTATTCTCCTTCAATGAGAAACACCAAAACGTGTGCATGAATTATCTTGTGGTTCAGTTTCTCCCTCACCTCTGACGCACACGGCAGAGCTGCAGGACGTCGTCCCTGCTCTGTTCGAAGCCATGCAGATGTAGGCTCCAGCATCCTCCGGCAGACACTCCGTCACCACGAAACTCACCTCCCTGCCATTGAAAGAGGGTTTCCCAAAACGGGCCACTTCACCTGCCCATAGGAGCAAACAAACAAACTAGAAACACTCTCCCCCACTATAGTGTAACATCTAACAACAAACTCTTTTGGTTTAAATTACAAATGTCTCATGCAACTAGAAGAAATAGCAGAAAAAAAGATTGGCATTTACATCTAATTCAAATGTATGTGAAAAATCCTGTTCTAAAACAAACCAAGTAAATGGGAATAGCTCTGCTGTATTTACTTTCACTGACTGTATCTGGGCCTCAGGCTTCATCGAGCTGCAGCCGTGTACATCCCAGTGTCTCTACTCACCATTGTGCAACCATGACACTTTGATAGGCTGACTCCCTGTGAGAACCCCGCGCAGTCTGATGTCACTTCCCTCGTCCACATAGCAGTCCTCCAGATGCTCTATGAAGACGGGTGGATCCAGATGTTTGGCAGAGGAGAGGTTGAGAGAACCTGAACATGAAAAGGAGGTGAGGAGTCACATAGCAACACAAGAGGGGTTTACTTAACTGCATTTAATAAGTCTAGTTATTAAACCCTAATTTTACTACAATGTTCTGTATAATCAGTAAAGCCCTTAAATATCCACCTTTATTATAGTGATATTATTATCATAGTTTTGTAGTGTTGTTGACATTAATTCACACAGTGAACTACTATGTTTTCACACAGAGTCTGAAGTGAAGTAAAAATAATTAGTCTGTAAGTGTGATCTTCCACCCGCTCATCTGTTAAAACCACAATTCATTTGCTTTTCTTCTTCCTTTTCCCTCTTGTTAAATATGTTCAGGTCAACACTGCCCAGACAAAACAACATTAACATCAGTGTAAAACCAAAAAATAGATATTACTATCAAGGTTTTACTATTAAGGCACCAGAGAACTGTTGTTAGCTTTCAGAGGTATTGTTTTAATTATTCTGTTTGTCTGTTTGTTAGCAGGATTACACAAAAACTACAAAACAAAACACAAAAATTGTTGGGAGGATGCAGTATTGGCCAGGGAAGAGCCCTTGACCCCTATTTTAGTGTATCCGATTTCTTTTCACCTTAGTTAAATAATGTGAGGTATGTACAGTACATAACTTTTTGCTGATTTCCCAGATAATCCAGATCTAGTCAATTTAAAGGAGACCCTACTGAGTGCCATTGTATTTTATTTGTGTGTATTTCTTTTCCCCTCCAGGACTTTATCTTGCATTAATATTAAATTTAGCAATTCGTTTTCACAGGACTGCCACTGAATACTTGAAGCTTAGCTGAAGAAGCACTTCATCAGCAGGTGTAGTACAGAACCATTAACATTCAAACAGTGTTTATAGATTGACTGTGTGTTGTAATGCTTAGTCATGGACAGTAAACCAGTTATGCTTGAACAAGATAGGTGTTTAACCATCAGCCTTTAACCTGCAGTCTTTACAACACTAAGTTATTCATTGTGCAGCATGATGTTTGAGGACGGTCACTACACACTTGGCTCCTCTGCTCACAAACACACAGCGAGCTGGATTTTCCCATGTCATTCACATCATGATCCTTTCACCTTTACTTTTGTTGTATAGAACTCTGATTGTGTCAGCAGCTCAGTAAGATCAGTATAAACTTCAAACTGAAAGCTTCCAAACCCCAGGGTTATCTCACAGTATCGTATCAACACAGCCCATATGTGTGACTAACTAATGATCTCACCTGCTCTATGTCAACAACCATCCACCCTCCTCCTGAGAAACTGAGACAATCTGGATTTCTAATAATGTCACACTCAGGCACTGAGAAGGTTTTTCCACATTTCTGTTAATATATACCACCTGGGAAACCAATGTATTAATAATAATCTTCATCACTTTGATTTATGCTGCCATACTGTTGGGGCTGATAGAGCAGGCTGTCCACTAACCAGAAGGTTGCCAGTTGAATCCCTTGTCTCTCCCATTCTGCGAGTCCTTGGGCAAGATACTGAACCCCCAAATGGCCCCTGATGGCTGTGTGTGACAGAACTTGTTGCACATAGATGCACATTCCTATAGATTTAATAGTTGCTGCTGTTGTTTACCTTGTTTTGCATATCAAATGTCAAGTTGGATTTGTAAAGTGTCCGTTGGTGACTCAAAAGATAATTATAAATAAAATGAATTATTGTCATTATTATTACCCCAGAAATACTAACATTTACAATATGTCAGTTACTGAAATTTTGACTTGTTAGAAACGACTGCTAGGTAACGATCAACACTGAAATTATTGAAATAAGATACTTATAGGCAACAAACATTTTATCCAGCTGTTCAAAAACATTCTTGAAAGCTGTTTCAAATTTTCACAACAAAAGTCACACATCCAGTCAAATTTAAAAACAACAAGCTGAGAAATTGAATTATATTGGGGACTGTGATGTTCAGTGTGAGCTGAATGGAAGTGAAAAGGTCCCCAATACAAAAACAATCCGAGAACTGGACATTTAATCTCAAGGAAAACACAACACAGGATATTAACATTTAAAAGCAACAAACACGGAGTGTGTAAAGTTATGCAAATAAACTGGTTTTACACAAGGCATATTAAAGTGTTCTATTTTTTGGAGCACAAATGGGAATATAAAGCACCATGTTTAGACTTGTCTATTCAAGCAGTTAGTTTAATGACTCTGAAAATGTCAAACTCAAATTATTCATCTCCACTCCTTCTGTCTCTCTGCCTCTCTCATGCAGCCCTTACCTCTATCAGTGCATTTGTCCGAGGGCCTGGTGTTAGCAGTTCCTGGCCCACTGCTGGGTGAAGATGATGATGATGATGATGATGATGATGCACGTGCTGGCTTGATCTGCATCCTGAAGGTTGATACAAAACTCTGTTTGCTGCCATCGCCGTTCATGTCTGTCAGAAAACCCTGGCCTCTGAGGCAAACAAGTTTACAAAGTCATTTCCCAGCAGATTATCACACTTCCTCTCGGTGTCACAGCTGTGTGTGCCTCAGCGGCTAGCTCTGCAAAAACCAACAAGCCTCTGTCTGTCCTTCTCACTGCAGCCAGTGCTGCTCTGCTCTTGCTCCTCACACTTCTCTGCACACGTCTGTGCCTTCTTTCCTCACCCTCTGCGCTAACTCCACCTACATGAGAAATATTTTCTGTTTTGCTTGGGTCATTGCATGCTGCGTGGGCAGGTCTCTCCTTATCTCTCCAAAGTCACCCCAGTGTGAGGTTGCCCCCCACCCACTATACTCAAACCCCTCTTTTTTTTTTTATCACCATGGCTAACATACACCACACATGAACGAGCAAAGAGAAATCAGGGGAGGAAGGGATGGGGGGGGACTTATCTACCCTCCCAGCCAAAGGTCGTATTGTGTGTTTGTCGAATGCACTGCCATTTATCAATATCTCTGTTTGCCTTCTCACTTATCAATGCTGCAACTGAACTTTGTAATGCAAGTGACGCTGGCGATGTGAAGGTGTTCTCTTTTTCATGCCTGTGGGCTGTAAAGCTGTGATTGTGAAGAATGGGCTCATAAATTCTATGTGATGCACTATACCCCAATCCACACACAAACACAGAGGCTGTTTCAGATTCCTGCTGCTATAGTAGCATGAGGATGTCTCGAGAGGGGCCTGCTCTTGTTTTCATGAACACATGTCGATGAGACACAGCCGTATTGTACAGTATCACACAATCTGCAGCTTTTATTGTTTATAAAAGAATATTTTTTCCACCCCTGTCCATTTGTTGGTTGGTTGGTTGGTTTGTGTTTGTGTGTGTCTGTTTGTTTGTGAGCAATAACACAAAAATGAGAGGACAGGCTACCACAAACCTTGGCAGAAGGATATGGTACAGTTAATCAAATTTTGGTGCAGATCAGGAGACGGATTCCAGGATTGTTTTTTTTTACTTTAACATTGCAACAAGGAGCGTTATTCAACATTTTCCATGAATCTTGATGGGGGGAAAAAACAGGCACTTTTAAGGAACTGACATCTATGAATAAGTGCATATTTGGTGCAACTCGTTTGAATACGAGGTGACTGTTGGGCCTTGTTGGATATATGTGTTCTAGTGAGTTCCAATCTGATTGTGGGATAAAATCATGTGAGAGAGAATGTGTAACAATCATCAACCTGACTGTACTTAATGTTTTGTACATTACAGAAGCCCAATGAGGGGATCCTAACATTTTGTTAATGCTCTGCTCACATCCCTAATACCAATAGAATATGACTGAGAGGTGCTAGTTTTAGTTTCTGTGAGCTATTCAAACATTGACCAAAATAAACACTAGTGAAAGGACTATTTTATACTGTAGATTTTTTTAACAGAGTTGCATACATCAATATGCAATTGTAAATCTTATCATTGTTCTGAATTAGCAGAAATTATTCTAGCATTGCCTATTTGCAACTGAGAAAGCACAGCAACATTTCTGCTGAATAAAACCATCCCCCCTTTTTTCTACCCGCATTATAAATCTGAGGAAAGAAAATGAAGAATGAGAGATGGTGGGAAACCACTCGAATTCTTTTGGTTGGCTATTTAATTATCAAAACAATCCAAATTTTCTCAGCAATTTCCCAAACTCATAAAACTCTTGCTTAGACAGCTTACTCCCCCCTGTTTTCAAACATCCTTCATGTCAACTTTTTTGGAGTTCTGACACAACCACAGGCTTCAACTTGCAGAGGCATCTTTGTCTGATGAAATTCTAACATAACCTCTTCAAAGATAACATACACTCCCTCTTCTCAGGAAACGGCACATACTGGATCACACAGAAAAAAATATGAATTAAAGGGCCTTACTCGTATTGCATTGGTGTCTAAATCAGGTAGAGCGGATTATTGTAGTTTCTTGAAAGAGAGTGTTACACTTTATATGTTGGATGGAAACAGCATCTGATAAAGTAAGACTGACATTGAATAAGACAGAAAAAATAAAACACACAGGACGTTGATAGAAGCTGCAGAACTGATCATTCTCAGGAAACAATGTGATTTTTCCCACATAGCCTTGGCCTGCAGGAGCATAATTAATGTATTTTGGGCACAGGGCCACTTACTACACACAATAGAATCCATCACAGGAGGGAGACAAGCTGACTGACCTCCCTCTGTGTGCATGCCCCAGTGTTAACCAGCCAATGGCATGCATGCAGATAGTTATGTCTGCTGTCTGGCTTTGAATGACTAAAGTGATAAAACTAAAACTTTGCCATTTTCCAGAACTAAACACTGTCTTAATCTGAGCATGAGGGAACAGATGGAGACTGAAGATTGTCCCAGCAGAGTGACAAGGAACCTTTGCAAGGCTTCAGAAGTGGAAGTGGATGCAGTGTGAGTGAGCTTAATGTGTTTTTTTAAATACAAGCATTAGGTCACTATTACAGGAAACTGTTAAATTCAACACGGGAACACAGTATAATGGTGTAATCTGATCGATAAAAAACATGTCGCCATCTGAAGAAGTTGGTGTAATCTCATTTAAAAGATGTGAAAGCAGCAAAGAAAACGAATGCATTTTTTTTTTATCAATCATCAAAAACTCACAGTTAATGTTACTGCTAAAATGTTACTGTAACTGTATCATTTATGCTTGCATCTGTCTTTGCAATGTCATTTAAAAAAAATTTATAAATCCCACAGGAGGCACAAATAGTCAATGGACTATTTACCAATGTTAATATTTTTATTTTTAAATTAAAAGTTTCCCATCAGAGAAAATTAAGACATATATTTCCTTGATAAAGCACATTAATCAAAAACATGCATTTACATTGTGTGAGTGGGTTTGGGACATTGAACCACGGCGCCCCCTGGTGTCATCTCTCTGAGGGTATTCTATAAAACATTAGAGATCCATTGAGAAAATCAAAGGGTTACACAAGGAGTCTTAATGTCCACTAGACAATAATGATCTAAAATAAAATGTTCTACTTATTTCACCTCCTCAGAGTAGCAGTTTCCAGAGGAGACTGGCACCATCTAGAGGCCATCTATGGACATGCTATAAGATTTCGTGTTAAACACTAAAAGAATGCAGTAGTTTTTTCAGCAGTGCAAACATATTATGAGACAACATACAAATTCATGGTTGATTTCTTGCATTTGTTCCCATTACCTACAGAAATAAATAAATGGTGGCATTTTATTATAGAAAAATAAATAAGATAAAATCCACTCTATTCATTGATACTCAAACTGTGAGGCATTTTCGATTCATGTGATCTTATAACTTGGGTAACACTGGCATTTTATTCTCTGACATAAAATAAAATCATTGTATGTTACATTATGGACCTACCATTTCCAACTCAAGCAAGACAAACACCAAGAGGTGACCCTACAATAGCACTTTATCACCCCCTTGTGGAATAGCCTGAATTTACTCAGGGCTCTGCCACTGGATTTCAAAACATAGGCCTCTACAGGACTGGTGATTCATACAGTCAATTTCTGTGCCATTCCATTGACCCAAATTGCTCCTTGAATAGTTTTCTACTCACAAGCACAGTGAAGGAGAACTGACCTTTCCCTCTTTGTGCTCACTTCATAAAGCTGCGAACAAAACTTAATGCAACTCTTCAGCGCGGCTATTTCCGGAGCTTCCAAAGCGTCTCGAAAAATGTAACACTTCAAGTTGACAGGTCACCCCTGACTTCTCCCACAGCAGCTCTCAGGCTCGTAGGACAAATGGTCACATGTTGCTCATGGTCGTAGTGGATGACTGAGAGGCCAACACTGCTCTGTGACCTACAGAGTGTATCACCACCCACTGTTCTCACAACTTCATGTGCTTCTGCAGAGGATCTTCTTTTGGGAGACAATGAGCTCAAACTGAAACTTATCCACCATTTATACAAACATTTAAGACCAACAGGTCATAAAGTAACTCTTTTTTTTTTGCTCATTCCATTGCGTGTTGTAATCAGATCAATTAAATACCTAATGACCTCCATATCCAAGACAATGCAAGTGCTTTTTCTGAAATTAAGTCTATTTGTGCATTCTTCTTAAAACCCCATCTTTACTTTCAAGAAGACTACCACCTGATCATTTCCCTCCCCTGCGGCTGAACGAGCAAATGAGCCGTGTTAAAGGTCGTCTTTAAATGCTGACCTTGTTGTGCAAAAGGTCATGTTGTTTTTCGCTCGGTTGATTTCACACATTGACCGTGACTGTCTGGCCCAGCAGTGACTCGGGGGCATTCCAGCCGACAGCTCAACATGTGCAGTGGGAGCACTACTCCAAAAAAAAAGAGGAAAACCCACAGTAGTTCGGGATATTTCCAGAGGAAATTACTTATGTGGATATTTCCCAAACTGAGAGATTGCAATCATACAATTTTATCTGGGTTGCACGCACGACTGCGACGTCCCACACTGGAGGTTTACACGCCGACAGTTATGTAAATTTTTTTCTGCTTTTAAAAATTGAGGCTAGAGAAACTAGTCTGATGCTGTTGCAATTTCACCAATTGTAAAATAAAATAAAAACTTCTGGTAGTCTTGTGAAAAGGCTTGGCAGACCATGAGAGAAGGAGGCGGGCATTTGACTGAGAGAGAGCATTTATGAGCCTGTATGTGTCTATGTGTTCAACTTCCACCTATGCAATGAGGCCCCTCCACCACTCTGTCATCGCGAGGGCCCACATGGAAGCGATTATGCCGTGCAGAGAGTGAAATTACAGAGTGAACCTGCGGAACTGGAACCGTCCTATTTCCACTCACTCATTCACTGTGATTTACACACAAGAACACAAGCTCTGCAGCACGTACAGCCGAGTGGACACACACACGCAGATAGAGAAAGACAGATGAACACACACACACTCAAGCGGGAGCTCCGCTGCCACCTTGCCTGAAGCTGTACATTTCCACTGCTGGCTCTGTCGGGACAAGGCCGCAGTGTGCTCGCCTCCCCGCCTTATTCCCTCTCCTGGACTGGAGAGGGGTG